AGAATTATTTAAAGTGAATCATGCTATTAACTGTTTCAAATCTTTTACCCAAACATAAGCCGTACTGTGTGTGTGTGTGCAAAAACATTTATGCAGAGAATGTTTAACACGGTGATGAATCGCTTTATAAGCGGACAAGTTTCCATCATTCCAAACTACAAGCGTATATTTAATTCACACACCTGATTTGCCTTAATACCTTCCACATGTTGCTCAACAATGCCCGGCAATAGCGAGTATTTACAAAAGCCACCTCTGAAATCACGGCCAATCGCACCACATCCAATACCTCCACAGGGAACACCTAAATCCTCATCAATCTCGAATGATCTCTCTCCTATTTATCAGCATTATCATTGTGAATAGTACTTATTGTCAGAACGTACCATAGAATGAATTCTTTCGCATTGTTCGCAATGCATTTATGAAAATATCATTCCCTTTCCACCAAGATACGAACATATACACAAAATATCTGAAATCAAACAAACCACTGAAATATTTGCAAAGCAATTTTCGATAGTTTATGCATTTTGAGCTGAAATTTTTGCAAACTAAAATGCAAACTAAATCATATCCAACTGATGCTGAAATTGAATTACAATACAACTGAAATTACAGCTGACCAAAACTTAAGTGATTCTCCAACAGAACATAGGTGAAAGAATCGTAAAAGAAAGTGATCATTACAAACTAATGATCAAAAGTATTTGACTGGCAATCCTATTGATGTTTGACTGGTAATCGCACAATAACTTAGCTAGCATTAGCATAAAGGCAAACTGAATGAAAATCAAAATAAGCAACTAAAAAAGATATTTGAGTGGAAATAACCTGAACAGCATGGGTAAAGCTTTGATGATATGTTTCATTCGTGGCACGAATGATCCAATATTCTCGGCATCAGGTGCCACAAAATCTCCACGGACCTTCCAACCAGGTCCATCCATCGCTTCTGAGATCATCTAAGGAGTCAGCTCAATAAAGTATACGTAAACTGGTAACAACCAAAATCACATACGTAATATTACTCATTAGAATTTGTCACTTTGAATTCTTAAATAAGGATGAAAAAGAGCTAATGCAGAGAGAACAACCCCAACTCCCTAAAAATACGTACATTTCAGATGACGGTGGAAGCAGTCAACTCAACTAGCTGCATTATCAAATAGGTAATCAAGTTAGAGAAGGCTGAATGAGCAATGAGTTGTTCTCGCATTTTGTTCCATTTAAAAAAGTCATTATGCCAATGACTTGTCAGTTGAATTAATACGAATTTATGCAAATTTAATTCATTTTCAATCACCTCTGCTTGATGACTTACAGTTATGCGCATTCAAATTAGGTTCGTTTGTAAAATTGCTCACATCCGATCCAAATCGCAAGGTAATCATTCGATAAATTGTACGACGAATTCGAAACCATACGGTGTACTGTTCGTTCACAACTTCTGACCAAGTCAACTCATTCGTAGATTCTTTCCTCTCCTCTGGCTTAATCGTCGGGCACTCAAGATCCAAACTTCAAAACCTCTTACATAGGGTACCACCCCTTCGCCTATTATCCCACTCACACAATGACTCCTAAACTCTAAACCGTTTGCGGTAAAAATAACAATAATCTCGTCAATTACAATACTTAATGGTAAATGCAGCTCGGGAGACTTCCAATAAGATGGAAAGACGATATTACAAAGACACTGGGTAACACCTGGCAAAGGTGTCGCGACGGAGCGCAAAAGAGACGATTCGTGAGGGACACCAAAGTGATATGTGAAAGCAACCATTAAATCTGTACTTAGCTGAATATGTATA